ACCGACCCCAACGAACCTGATTTTCGTGGCAAGGTCCCTGGCAGTACTCAGTAAGGGTCTGTAGAGTTTGATTGACGAGGCCCACATTGGTTTTGTTGATGTAGAGGCCCAGAAGGCCCAAGCCCCCAGATGTGCTTCCGCAGATGCAGTCGAGAAACTGGAGGGTCTCACAGACCAGATTGTAGTTGTTTTTGTTGTTCTGATTTCTTAGGTATTGCTTGATGGGGTGGAGGTGATGGGTGGTCGGTTTGTTGATCGGTTTGTTGAATAGTTGATTGATTGATTGGTTGATTGATTGGTTGATTGATTGATTGGTTGGTCAAGTGGCTGAAAATGTTGATTGATTGACTAAATAAATGAAAATTTGAATGAACAAAAAAACAATGAAGTAATAAGTTGATAGGGGACGATTGAATGATTGGTTGATTGATTGATTGATTAAAATGTTATTGAATGAATAATTGAATAAATAAATACAAAGCGAATGAATGAACAATTGAATGTAAGAACAAATGAATGAATGAACAAATGAATGAACTAACGACGAACGAACGAACGAAAAAAAACACTCCATCATGCGTCCGGTGAAAAACTTTCAAACAATAATTTCTCTTAAATACTTTCTAACTAAACAATAATAATATAATTAAAAATGCAAATAATAATAATAACAACAATAATAATAATTTATTATGAAAAGAAATAATTATTAATAATAATAGAAGTAGTGCGCTAAATAAATTAAATGAAGCGTGAAAAACGGGTGGAATTTTTAAAGTGAGTTGATGACGTAATCGCCATCCTCTGCATCATTATCCTCATCCTATAATCTACAGCAGCTACAGCAGCAGTAGTAGCAGTAGTAGTAGCAGCAGCAGCAGCAACATCGTCATCGGGAAATCATGCTACTAACAAACTCTACGAATAGCTATCACGCGGGGAAACTATTGTAAAATTAATATAAACGAAAATAGAGAGAGAGAGAGAGAGAGAGAGAGAGAGAAAGAAAGAGAGAGAGAGAAAGAGAGAGATATGGAGAAAAATATAGAGAAAGAAAATGAAAAACAGAATAAAAATGAAAAAGTGAAATGGTGAAAATAAACAAGCGAAGAAAAAGAACGAAAAAACATGATAGCAAGTAAGAGAGCAATACAAACAGAAAGAGAGGGAGAAAGAGAGAAAGAGAGAAAGTGAAAAAGAGAGAGACGAGTCTAACGTCTTCATCATCCGTATCCTCATTATTTTCCCTGATAAGTCTTTTGAAGCACTCCTGATCTCTTAGAAAGTTCTTACAGTATGTATTATTATTATTATAATTATTATTATTATTAATCATATTATTATTGTTATTATTATTGCAATATTATTATGCAATTGTAATTATTATGGTCATAATTATGACTGAAATTATGTCGATTTAATAATTTTTTTTTCCTATCTCTTTCATCGACTCAATAACCTCCGCCATATTTAGTTCGATGACGTCATTGTCGTTAGGGGATTTCAGGTCAGACAAATTCCATCATCATCATCATCATCATTATTATTATCATCATCGTCATCATCGTTATCATCACTACCATTATCATAATCATCGTTATCATCATTCCCTCGTCACCCTCCTCGTCACTACTGACCTGAAGTTCAAGGTTGTGGTTCTCGCAGAGCAGCTGCAAGAACCTCAAGATCGGTTGCATCAGGGCCACTTCTAGCGGTAGCTTCTTCTTTTCGTCACCAGCTCCACCCAGACCACCTGCACCTTTGCGATTGTGGTTGTAATCATTATCAAGATTATCATTATTACTATTTCACTCAACCTAGAACCACAAAATTCAAAAACAAACAAAGACACATGCAAGAAAATCACGGCTATGATGCTTGTTAAAATAATTGGTTGACTTGATTGACTGATTGATTAATTGATTGTTTGTTTGATTGATTGATTGATTATGTGATTAACTTGTTAATCAAACGACTAAACTAAAAATCGACTTACTTTCATCCTGCAAATCGTCAGCCACAGCGGAAGAAGTTGAAGCCGTAGCTGCTTGTGGCCGGCTGCCAGCGCCGCCTAACAATCCACCACCTACACCACCACCACCACTCGCAGCGCCGCCGCTACTACCGCCACCACCATCGCTACCCTTTTCGAGATGGCGTATGTGTTGGAGGTGTGTGTAAGCTTTTGAGATGACTGTGGCCGCGTCTTCCAATTGGTCCTGAAGCTCGCTGGTGAATTTCCCGGGAATTAGTTTGGCTGTTGTGTTGTGTAATTTGAGGCTGTTGTAGTCGCTGCTTTGGCTGCTGCAAAACACACGCAAACACCCACACACACTCACACACACACGACAGCAAAAACCACACATGCACACACACACACACACACACACACACACACGTTAACAAAAACCACACATGCGCACACACACTACTAAATTAACCCCTCCCCTAACCCTTTCTTTTATTACTATCCTCTTCCGGTACGTCTCCACCCTTTCCGGTGGTGATGGAGTCGGCGGCAGTAACGGATAGGTTGGCCTTGATCTCCGTGTGGGCATCCCGGATCCGATCGTACAGGACTTTGAAAAACTTCTCGGAATTTTTCTCGTAAGTAAGTCGCTCGAAGAAGGATTTCTGTTTTTTTTTGTTCGAGTGCGTTGTTGTGATTTATGAATGAACGAATGAAAAAATACTGTAGATGAAAAGAATGGATGGATGGATGGATGGATGGATAGATGGATGGATAGATGGATGGATAGATGGATGGATAGATGGATGGATAGATGGATGGATAGATGGATGGATAGATGGATGGATTATTTATTTTTATTTATTTATTTATTTAAAGGATAACCAAAAAAGATAAACTTGTGGATAGGCCACCCTTAACTAAGAATTCCAACTGTAAATGTAACAGAAATGTCAAATAAATACATACACACAAATTCTTACTATAAATGTAACAGAAAAGTCAATGAATGAATGAATGAATGAATGAATGAATGAATGAATGAATGAATGAATGAATGAATGATGGAATGAATACAGAAGTGATGGATTGGTGACTAAACTCGCAGGCAAACGAAATAACGAACGTATGAACAAATGCAAATCGGAGGACAAATAAAAATGGATGGACGGATAGATAAATGAAAAGACGAACATGAAAATAAAAGAACAAAAAAACCTGAATAACTCCATTCCCTCCATCTAGCAGGGCAATGCCAAGTTCAATGGCCTCTTGAAATGATTTGTTGGAGTAGTTCTTGATGATGAGGTCAATGACCAGGTCAGTTGTGCCCTGGCTGTCCAAGTAACACTGTGTCGTGTGTGTGTGTGTGTGTGTCGTGTGTGTGTGTCGTGTGTGTGTCGTGTGTAGTAACACGAAAAGACACACACAAACACACACACACACACACATACAAACACACATAAAAACACACATACATACACACATACATACGCATACAGACACACACAGACACAGACCTGTACATCGTGCAAAGTCATATCCGCCCTACTTATCATCATGGAGCCCTTATCATAATCCTGACCTTGACCCATCAACGATGACGACGACGATGATGATGAGGATGATGATAAGGAGGGCGACGACGTCATCATGGCTGAATTGTTGAACTTTGAACTTTTGTGGTGACCCTGCTGCTTGCCGTAGTAACATTGAAGAAGTTTGGATCGGAGTTGGTCGCACTGTTGACGATGATGATGATGATGATGATCTAGATGGTGATGGTGGTGATGATGGTGATGATGATGATAATCATGACACTGGTGATAGTGATGATACTCCGTGTCTTAGTATGATCCTCATCGTCGTCGTCGTCGTCGTCAACATCATCATCACCACCATCATCAGTATCATTATCATTACAGTCATCATTACAATCATCATCATCAGTATCATTATCATTACAGTCATCATTACAATCATCATCATCAGTATCATTATCATTACAGTCATCATTACAATCATCATCATCAGTATCATTATCATTACAGTCATCATTACAATCATCATCATCAGTATCATTATCATTACAGTCATCATTACAATCATCATCATCAGTATCATTATCATTACAGTCATCATTACAATCATCATCATCAGTATCATTATCATTACAGTCATCATTACAATCATCATCATCAGTATCATTATCATTACAGTCATCATTACAATCATCATCATCAGTATCATCATCATTACCAACCCTTTTTTTGTCGTCTATCTCTTTCTTGCTCATAGTTTTTTGGTCGGCCTGCAAAGTTTTTCATCTTCATCATCGTCATCATCATCATCGTCATCATCATCGTCATCATCATCATTATAGTAGTCATCGTCATCGTCAACAGCAACAACAACAACAACAACAACAACAACAACGTCAACGACTTAATTTGATCAAGTAAAAAAAATTCGATCATTCAAGTAAGAGGCCATTTACATATACACGCCGACAAATTAATAAGGTCATCCTGATAATAAGGTCAAGTCGTGACCTTGTTTTCCTCGGAGTCCAAGGTCATCATGTCCTTCAACGTCTGGAGCAGCTTCAGGCAAAGTTTTTCCTCCTTCTCTTCCAGAAGCTTTCCAGCGTGTTGAATCAATCTGTAAGGATGGATTAATGGAAAGATGGATGAATGAAAAAATGAATAAAGCGTTGGATGGATAAAAGATCGATTGATTGAATGAATGAATAAATATATGATTGGAATGATAAAGGAATAATTTTCATTATTTTTACCATCGTCATTCATCCACTCGTTAATTTTTTTTCAACAATTTGTCAATCGCCTTTTCATTCCGTCATTCTAATTCACGCCGATTAGTCTCATCAATCATTCACTCTTTCATTCTTCCTTCCGTCAATTCACTCCTCATTCATTCACGCCATTCATTCGCCTATTTCTTCATTCATTCACTGACTTCGATATGAATCCTCCACTCTGGCATTTCCTCTGTGCTTCCGTACCTGGCAGAAACAAGGCTTCTGGTTGGTGGAGAACATCCACCAATACGCTGAGCTCCGATTGAATGAGAGGCTTTAATTGGTCCTCCAGAAGAGCCACTATGTCCTGATTGGACGAGATAAATGAAGAAATGAAAAATGATCGACTGATTGACTATTGAAATCTTTATACAACAATTGATAACTGTTGTATAAAGATTGATAGACTGATTGATTACTTATTCAATTGAAAAAATTAATTCAGCCGACTTGCAATCCTTCGATGATATTCCTGCAATCCTGGCTGGGGGGCGCCACTTCCGACCTATACTTTCCAGCACTACTGATCCATGCCCTGCTGTGCTTCATCAAGTTGTGAGTCCTATTGAAGAATGCTATCAGCTGGAATTCCAACTCCGGTGGGATCGCCAACAGCCTGTTCCTGGCTGGGATTGGTTGGTTAATAGATTGTTCAATAGTTAATAGATTGTTAATTGGCTAAACGATTAAAATTTTAGCCAGGCAATCAATTAATCAATCAATAAATGAACGGCTCATGTCACAACCAACCAACCAACCGACCGACCAACCAACCGACCAACCAACCAACCAACCAACCAACCAACCAATCAACCAACTAGCCAACCAACCTACTAACCAATATCCCACATGGTCCGGATGCAACTTTCCACGCTGAACTTCTGCTGACCTGAGAGCCACTTGCAGTTGGCCACTCTGTATGCTCCCTGTAGCAGCTTTATGAACATTGGCTGTTGGGACTGTTGGTTTGTTGATTGAAATAAAAATATGAAGAAATAATCAACCAGCCAATCAAAATGTACATGTTAATGTTTGTGAATATGTCTATATATATTCATATTCGTTCGTTCGTTCGTTCTTCCATTCGTTCGTTCGTTCGTTCGTTCAGTCATTCACACGGTTTCCATAAACGAGCTTAGTGTTGGAATTAATTTGCTTTGACTGATTGGTTGGTAAATCGGTTGTTTGGTTGGTAGTTTGGTTGACTGTTTGGTTGGTATGGTGTGTATAAAAGAAATGAAATGAAAGAAACACGTATCTTCATTTTTAATTTGTTAAGTGGAAAAGGAGTGATCTCGATTAACTCTGAATTCAACTAGTTAACCACGTACGGTACTTTAATCATCTCCGAACCATCCCGCCGTAAGCGGTCGTTTAATTCATTCTAGTATAGTTAATATATTGTTGTTAAGCACCTATAATAATGTTTCATATACATTAAATAAAGTCAATTATGTCAATGATTGAAATGATAAGAATATATGAATGGAACTGGTATTAATAGGAGCCGAAAATGCGTTGAAATCCGACCGGAGGCTTTAGGGCATTCCTTTAGCGACTGGTCTTTTTTTATTTCTTTATCTTAGTTAAGTTATTTATTATTTCTAGACGTGTTCGTTACTTATTATTACTAAAATTATTCGTTTATTTTATTCGTTGCTTATTATTTCTAGATTTATTCGTTTATTTTTTACATACATTTTTGATCAAGAAAGTTTGATAATATTTGAAGCGTGCACACATACACAGAATACAAACACATACATACATACATAAGTTAAAAACATTCGTACGTACGTACATACACACAAACACACATACACACAAACACACATACACACAAACACACATACACACAAACACACATACAAACAAACACACATACACAGATACATGCCTGCATGTATTACCCATTATATTGTTGTAATTTGTCAATTCTTAATTTTTTATACTTTGGTAATATTTTTTTTTATTTATTTATTCATTTTATTTATTTATTTTTTTTATTTATTACTTATTAATATAGAATCACAAATATAAAGTGTAAAATTAGCTGTGTTAACATCCAACAATTAAGCTAGGGATTGAATTAGTTGAACGTACGTAAGTGAGATCTGAGTTAATTGAACATAGGCAAGCCATGGCTGGAGTTAGATTAAAGTTCAGAAAAAAATAATTGACAATAGGTAGGTAGGTAGGTAGGTAGGTGGGTGGGTGAATGGGTGGGTGGGTAGGTAGGTAGGTAGGTAGGTAGGTAGGTAGGTATCGTCTGCTTTTCATGTTTAGCGATTGATTTTGTTTTGTGCGCAT